TGACTTTTAATTTTTCATGAATATTATGTCAGGCGTCAATAAAAAAAAATTGGAAAATCCACAAGTGCACGACTCATAATGCTCAAATGATCGTGAAACAATGTAGAAAAAAATCTCAATCAATAATAGATTTTTATTTTAGTTTTAATTCGTTATTATTGAGATTCAAAAATTTTTTTATAATTGTTAATTGAAAAAAAAAACTTTTAAAAGATTTATCTTAAAACGGCCAGTAATCAAGTTTAATATTACTTAAATTTTTAGGTATTTGTACTCGGGTACTATCGTAAAAACAAGTTTTTTTAACCTGATCGTTAGTAAAAAAAAATTCTCATCAATTTTATTTGGTTATTTCAAAAGATTTTTATCAAGTCATAAGTAATTTAATTTAGCATTCAATACGTATAAGTATATTTATATATAAATCCTACGTACTTTTAGCGCAACAATATATTGCATTTTTTATAGAACTAAGGTGACAAACGAGCACACAGTTCACCTGATGGTAAGTGGATACTGTGGCCCATAGACATCTACATTTAACCTCGATTAATAATCAAAATGCAGATGCGTTGTCACCCTTGAGGACTAAGATGGAATACCTCGATTCCAGTAAAACGGGTCTCCGGTTCTCTACACTCACCATAAGTAACACAGCAACAATTTTACGATGGTATTCTGTGAGAGCGTGTTCCTTCCCCGGTCGAGCCGACCCATTCATGCTACAACCATAATTTAGCTGCAGCGTGGCTCTACTATGTATACTTAATTAAAATTGTAAATTAATTATAAATTACTTAAATAAAAAATAACATTAAATTTAGTATAAAATTTAAAATAAAAAAATAATTAAAAACAAAACTAAAAATTTATTATAAAATTGAAACACCGCCCGTTGAATGCTAAATATAAACCGTCGTGTGGAAGCATTAAAATTGCGAAAGGGCCGTTTTTATTCTCCTATAACACGGAAGAGGTTATCGGTATCTTCATATCAAATTCTGAATTATTCCGTAAACTTTGTCAATTATATTTTTTAAACATACCATAATCACAAGATTTAGCGTTAAATTCAATTTTTTAGATTATAAAACTAGGATGATAAATGAGCACACAATCTACCTGATGGTAGTGGATTCTGTGGCCTATAGGCAATTACATATATATCTTTAATTAAGAATCGAAATGCAGATGCGTTGTCACCCTTGAGGACTAAGGTCGAATTTCTCGTTTATAGTCATAAGGTTCTCCGGTTTTCATCTTCATGACAATATAGAAATATCTACATATGATATGCTTGAAATAAACATTCTATAGGTTTTTATCACTTTTTTGCAACCAATATTAATTTCTGGAAGGAGTTCTTAGAAATGTTCGTTTGTTTCTGAAGAAAGTAATAAACGACTTCGAGAGCTACGATTGGTTCGGAACGATCACCTATTTGAGATAGAACTTTATTACTTTGACAATATTCTTGGAACAAGTTGATTCAATGAATAGTTGTATTAAGGTAATAAAATGAGATTACTGAGTGCGCTCTAGCATTATTAGATAAAACAAGAACTTTGACGATCGTAGCTTCTGGACGTAGCTATAACTGTTATTCAGTCATCATAGATTTTGATATGAAATGAAACATATCTAATTTGATAGTACTTAACATATAATTTAGCAGTGGTTCTCACACTAGGCGCGCAGACCAGTATCGTGAGAGTTATATATATATATATATATATATATATATATATATATATATATATATATATATATATATATATATATATATAAAAAAAATTAAAACAGAATTAGTGCACAGCTGACTTTACAAAGCTTTCCGTTACTTTAAATGTCTTCTTCATTTCATTTATATACACAAGTACTCGTATAATTTGATAATATTTATATTTCTAGTATTTTAATGACTCTGTCGAGTTTAGAGCACGAGTCATTAAAAATTTATGAAATTGTGTATAAGTACCCTCTACTCAATTTTATCTCGTGGGTCTCATAAAAGGCGACTATGGGAAAGGCCGTAGAGATCTTAACCTCCATTGTTAACACATAGTCCGCCTGATGGTAAATAGACGCTGAGATCCATAGACATCTTCATCACTCTTGGATCTCTTACGCCACCATCAGACATCATTTGGTAATTAATTACTCTTTCAGAATCACTTATGTGTTTTAGGACAATAAAAATAAATTGAAAATATATTCTCACTCCTTCGCAATCGTAATGCCTATCTGCGGGATTTATTGCGACATTACGTGTGTACGTTACCTATTTTTTACTATTATTAGGATTTATTTAGGATCCACTGCGACGTCTAAGGTGGAATTTAGTTAGAATCGAAGTAATCCATTAGTTGGCAGAGTGCGCCGAATTTGCACAAGTTATCTAAAGTTGACTGTTGGAGACAAAATCCGCATATTTTCCTTTAGTAAAATATGAATTCGTAGATGTAGACAATGTTGTCGTTAATGATACCGTAACCTTTAAATACCTTAGCTCCCAAATTTATTATAACACTATTGATTTTAGCACAAGGAAACAATAAAACGTTAAATGCATACAATAAATTTACATTACAATATATCCACAAATATATATGTATAATATGTATACATACTTGTTATCGCGGTTAGTTGCAAAATATAATTTTTTTAATAAAAGCTGAGCAAAATCACTCGATTTGAAATTTATTATCTACATCATAATGACTTCAATCACGTATACGAACAAAGGAAATCTTAGAGTACGGAAATACATAATATTATGCTAAAGAAAATACATATATGAGACTAGGTTGCCAGGCAGACGTTGTTCTGCCCGTTTCGACGACATTTTGTCATGTCCTATTAAAAATCCTTAAATTCGCAAAAAAAGAGTTGTGGGTGGGCAAAACGACTATCCTATCTCTCAAGTTGGACTAAACTGCACACGGTGTGCAAATTTGATTAAAGTCGGTTAAGTAGTTTAGGAGTCAATCGCGGACAAACAACGTGACACGTAATTTATATATGTTAAGATTAGCGTTTTGTCGTACTGACCATTTCGATCTGAAATATCTGCTCTTTGGTTAAGAATTCCATATTCAAATTTATAAATCATCATAGAGCATTCTTATTTTTCTCATTATTTTTTCTTTGGCGCCGCTTATTACCGCACAAAGGAAAACATGAAATTTCGGTATATTTACGAGTACGAGTTCTACCGTGGCACCAGTGCTGCAGAAACCGCTCGAAGGATTAATTAAGTGTACGGAGCTGATGTTGCAAAAAAAACACGGTACGTTTTTGGTTTCAAAGTTTTCCTTCTGGAAATTTCGTCCTTCAGAACCAACCCCATGGAGGGCCGGAGACCAAAGTGGAAAATGAATTGTGGAAGCAAGTCCGCCACAAAGCGCTTCAGATATAGCTGCAGGCTTCGGGGTAAGTGATAAAACTGTATTAATCCACTTGAAGCAAATCGGGAAATAAAAAAATTTGAACGATGGGTACCTCATAAATTGAGCGAATCGAGCTTGCAATCACGCGTCGACTACTGTGCTACTTTGCTCAACCGACACAAAAATGAAGGGATTTTAAAACGAATCATTACTTGTGTTAAAAAGTGTATACTGTACAATGATCGAAAGCGCTCGTCGCAATGGCTGACCCTGGAGACTCAGCCAAATCCTGCCCTAAACGAAAATTGACTCAGAAAATTTTACTTTTGAGTGTATGGTAGACTAGCGCCGATGTCGTTCACTACAGCTTTCTAAAATCTGGCCAAACGATTACGGCAGATATCTATTGTCAGCAACTGCAAACCATGAAGGAAGAACTAGCTGCTAAACAACCGAGATTGGTCAATCACTCTAGGCCACTGCTGCTTCACGACAACGCAAGACCACACACTGCACAACAAACAACCAATAAGTTAGATGAGCTACAATTGGAATGTCTCCGACATGTTCGGTACTCCCGTACCTTGCTCTAACAGAATAACCTTTTTTCGGAATTTGGACAACTTCTTACAAGGAAAAAATTCAACTCCGATGCGGCAGTCCAAACCGCCTTCTAAGAGTTATATTGATTCTCGTCCCCATGGTTTTTTTTTTAGTAAAGGAATCAATAGGTAGTTCACCTATAAGATGGCAAAAGATGTATCTATGTAATAACGAAGGTGCATACTTTGATTAATTTAAAATACTTTGAAAAAAAAATTTACTTTTTATGCCTCCCGTACAAAACACCAATTTCATATGTAAGGACCTATTATATTGTACGTAGCTAATACGTTCGTAATTTTGTTCAGAAACATGAGTAGCAATAAAAATATCAACATATTACTGGGATTTTACCTAATCACAATGTTAACGCACTAGTCTATCAAATTCTAACAATACTGTTGAACATAAGCCTCCCATACATACACATACATACATATACACATACATAGATTGTCTTATAGGGTTTTTTATTCTTAGTCATTATTAAGAACACGCTGCTGCCCATCTCCTGAGTTGTTTCTCAATGTCACTTCTTACAGCACCCACGAGATGATATGGGGTATTTACGCGTTTTTTTTTTTATTTTATGGATGTGATATTTGATAGAATGTGACAAGTGATAAACGAGCTTTCAGTCCACCTGATGGTTAGTGGATGCTGTGTTACATAGACATCTACATTTATTCTCGATTAAGAACCAAAATGCAGATGATTTGTCACGCCTTACGACTAAGGTGGAATGTTTCGTTTCAAGTGAAATGGGTCTTCAGTCCTTCTCACTCTCTATATAAAACACAGAAGCGTTAAGCCGCTATTTTACGCAAGTATTCTATAAGAGCGTGTTTCTTCCCCGGTTAAGCCGACCCATTCGCTCGCCACTATAATATAATTTAATTGTATGTGTGTGATTATGAAGATAATTAATCAGCAAATTTTGAACTTACTACTGTGGATCTGGTACTACAGTGGTCGGTCAAGGTTTAAAGTGTTTGATAAAGACAAATCCTACTTGGGAGAGTATACAGTGAACTGTAACTTGTCACTGATGACGTCGTATTTATTAATTGGTTGTTTGATGACAGCAGCTACGTTTTCTATTATCGAAATTAAATTTTCATTTCGTTTTTCTGGTAGATTAACAATTTCAATGTTGCACTGGCGTGAATTAAGCTCTAAAATATCAAGCTTGTTTCCTACCTCCATAATCAGATCGTCTTTATTTTGGGACGATTTATATATTTTTTCTAATTCAAATAATCGACGGCGGATCTCGTCAGTTTGGGTTTCTAGGTCGTCGTATTTGTCATTAATAAATTGGATTGAATTCTTCAATTCTTCGAAATCTTCAATGAACTTCGTTATTTTATTATTCTGTTTGTCGAAGAACTCCTTCATCGAAGTCATTATCTTCTCTTGAAAAGAATGAAATTCATTGCGTAGATCCAACACATTTTGATCAGCTACACCTTTACGAAACGTCACGTAGTCAGGTGGAGATTCTTTTTTCTATCAAAGAACTGTCTATACTCATTTCATCACAATGAGACTTTATTAGAATACCGGGTAGGGATGTTTTGTTTGGTGCGAGTGTTATTGAGAGACATAACAATAAGTTAGTAATAGTGATTGCTTTCTCTGTATATATATATTGCTCTGTGCAATAAGTAGCCGAAGTGAACCAACATTATTCGTAACCGTATGTACTCGATGAGTCACTGGGCGATCGGAGCAAACATGAATGCACTGACAGACACACGTCCAGATTGCAGAAGAGCGCGGAACGAAAAAATGGTATGAAGATGAAAAGGTTACGGCTGCCCGGCCTACAGTTCTAGTGTCTCTAATAAGCTACGAAAGAAGCTATGAACGTTCTGCTCTCGTTTTGAATATCATACAATAAAAAGGGAGAGGGCTCAACACACCTAGTCCACACTTTCAGTTGTAACACTGACTGAAAGGGGCCAAGAAATGGTCGAGCGTTGTAATATTTAACAAGTGTCAACACAACAGTTTCAAACTTGTTAAATATTGCAGGCGGTAATTACTGTTAGACCATATGTCGAAGGATTACTGCTATTCGCATGAGGACGTGCGATAGTCAGGGTTGGCCGTGTCGGCGCGTCTTAAAAATTATATCTACATAAAATGACAGTATAGTAGTTCTGGCTGTTGTAGTAATTTTTCTAGTGCAGGAAGTAAGAGGCTGCTCCGAGTTACACTGAGATAGATAGATATATGCTTTCTTCACGATTATCATGTTCCTCAAGTTACACTACTGTGTAATTATGACGGAGATATATTACGGTATGGTTGAGCTGTAATTGCTCTATACGGAATGTAGAGTGCAATACTCGGTTTTATTGCTGTAAATGATTAATTGCGTAAACAGGAGAGCAAGTTATACATCCACTCTCACACTATTTTTATTTTTTTAACCATGAACGTTCTGACGATTTCCCGCTATTTTGGAATTATTTTTTTTTTGTTGACTCTGTTTAAGTATAAATATATCATAACGAAACATTATTTTACATAATTAAATAATAATTTTGGTGGTTTGATTTAAATACATTTTTTTTATAGATTAAGGGGGTAACAAACGAGCACACAGTCCACCTCATGGTAAATCAAATCTATGAACCGTAGAAGTCTACATTTATTCTCGATTAAGAATAAAAAGGCAAATGCGTCGTCACCCCTGAGGACTAAAATGAAATTCCTCTTTTCCAGTAAATTAGGGTATCCAGTTCTTTACACTCACCATACTAAACCACGATTGAACCAATTCGTAACCATACTTCAAAATAATAATCATAAGTTTTGCTATTAGAATGAACTGATTTCATTAAAACAAAACTAACTGTTACTCGAATTTCTTAACGCCTTATGATTTTCTTAACGATTTTTTTTATATTATAACCTTAAATCCGATAAGTTCATAAAGAAATAGATGGACAGAAAATTCTAAATATCAAATAAATGTAGTTACTTATTTTTAGTCCCCCTTAATTATATTTGCCACATAAATATAAAGTGTACAATCATCTGCTATTTGCAGTTTTATTATATCATTGACTTATATATTACTAGCGTAAGGACCGGGCCGACCAAACAACTAAAACGGACCAGTGCGTTGGCCCTAAAATTACAGTTTATGGCCAACACGAATCGGTCCACAGTGGTGCGCGCGCAGGAAAGATTTGCCTGTCATAAATATGTCTAGTTGCGTGATAAAAAGGATGCAAAAATTACGATTCAAAGACTAAAAAAAGAACATGGGATATCTTACCATCGGTTAATCTTAATCTTAATAATATATATAAATTACGTGTCACGTTGTTTGTCCGCGATGGACTCCTAAACTACTTAACCGATTTTAATCGAATTTGTACACGGTGTGCAAATTAGTCCAACTTGAGAGATAGGATAGTTTTTTGCCCATGGTGAACCACAATTTTTTTGCGAATTTAAGGATTTTTAATAGGACATGACAAAGGGTTGTTGAAAAGAACAACGTCTGCCTGGCGAGCTAGTAACCTTATATTAATTTTGTTACAATTAAATTATTATATAAACGCATTTTTAAAGTTTTATTTTCCAGTTAGTTTAGTTACGTTCCCAAGATTAGGCCAGGGTTGGATTCAGACCCTCTAAAATATTGTACATGGAAAATAAAATTACACTTTTTTTAAAAAATTACATCACGTTTGACGATTCATATTTCTTTTTTCCCATGTGCCGGAATTTTAGCGTCACGCGTTTAGTTTATCTATACGTTTCATTTTTTGACGGTTTTATTTTTATTTGTGTTTTATTTTTGTCTAAAAACTTAGTGTAAGTTATATTTTGAATATTGGTACCTAATATATTTTTAATTCAATAAGGGTAAAACGAAAAGAGTACAAAAGAAACCATATCTGCTTAATTGAATCTGAAAATCTGATTCATAAAATATTTTGAAATTCTGTTTTCAAACCGATTGCTTCTAGAGCATAGAGTTTTTATCGTAACAGCACCTCATTATAGTTGTATCAAGGATGCAACATAAATGCATCGATCGAGCACCGATTGACCAGAAAGGGAGCTAATTCTAATTTTATTAAAAAAAACGCGGTACTCAATTGTAAAACAGAAATTCTCAATATCGTAGGGTTAATATTAAAAAGTAAAAGGACCTAATAATAATATAAGTCGACCTTTAGGTAAAATTATGGTATTTTTGCTAAGTATTATTACGATACTATATACTACAAACTATGAAATAATGTTACAATTAGGATAATTATACTTCGAAATCCGACCCTGTTTACCACGTGTTATGATATTACGTTTGTATTTTGGCAGATGCGCTACTTTTTCTTGTATGAAAAAGTTATGAGTAATTTTTTTTATAGAAACGGGGCAAACGAGCATACGGTTCACCTGATGTTCAGTGACCGCCCCATGAACATCCGCAACACCAGGGGAATTGCAGGTGCGTTGCCGGCCCTTTAAAAAGGAATAAGCTCTTTTCTTGAAAGTCCCCAGGTCGTAACGGCCCGGAAAAATCGCCGGTCGTAAACTATTCCACAGAGAGGTCGTA